GTGTCCTCCATGTCCCTCTCCTCCCTCCTGAACTCAGATGTTTCAGGACATTGTCAGAAGTGAAGGGTGAATAATGGGGGGAGGTATTTTCCAAGACACAGCAGACTTCCTGTCCCAGAGAAGGAAGCTGCCGGCAGCACGGCGCCCTCAGTGTCCTATATCTCCATTTCTGTGCCCACTTTGTACTTTTCCTCCATTTGGATCCCAAATGATCCTGTTAGATGAGTTGAAGGTGGTACATGGTGCAGGAACTGTGACAGCAGAGCTCACTCTCTTCCTCTTTAGATCCTGATTTGCAACATGAAGGACAATCTGACCCAGGACTTCCGTGACATGCGGGACTATCTGGAGAAGCAGGAGCGGGCTTCATTCTGGCGGATGCAGCAGGAGCAGGAAATGGCAAAGAAATCCACATCCCAGGATATTCAGATCCTCGTGGCGGATATCGAGAGCTTGATGAAGGTGAAGGTGGAGCTTCAGGACCGCATCGAAAATGACTGGATGGCTGTGCTGAAGGTGGGTCCGTGCTAAGGACACCATGGGGTACACAAGGCCCTTCACTCTGAATATCTCTGAATGTTCATTTTGGGTGAATAATGTCAAAAACAAACATTCTTAATATATTTATTTCCCAGTTTTGTGATGTTGTAATATTACATGATGGCCACTAAGGTTGCAGACACGGAGCGGTCGGGTAGGTGGAGGAGTCTGGGAGCATCATTCATGGTAGACTGATGGGGGGGATGGGCGGTGTAGATGTCAGCCAATGAGGAGTTAGCTGTAATAGTCGAGATGAGGGATTATGGGGAGCGGGTTGGTAGCTTTGTAGTTTCCTTATATTAAGAACGATTGTTTTTGGCATTATTCACCCACAGTGAATGTTCACAGATAGTCTCCCCTGACGATGGTTTATATTTGAGGTGCAGTGCGTCCTCATTGGACAGCAGTTCTTCCAGATTGGAGAATATGGCGTCCTGCGCTGACTCCATGTTGTGTATACGGGTGACCTGACCTTGTCTCTTCCAGGATTCCGGATCAGGGGGTACCTGGGTGTCGGCCGCCCCCCCCAATAAACGATACACGTTTGATGAGAACCGCCTCGTAGACACCACTGAGGTCATTTCAAAGATCAGGAAGAGCCTGTTGTCTCACTCACTGCTGGAGCAGGTTCCATGTCCACCCAAACAAGGTGAGGTCCTTCTAAAGGAGGCTGGACTGGGGCACAGAGCTAACAATCTACCTACTTCTATGTCCTTGCTGGCTGATCATCTCCTACAACTGCAGGACGCAATCCCTCCATAAAGAGGACCTGTCATGGGGGCAGGTGGGGAGCAATGCATTGTAAATAATGTGGATTGCTGTCCTGGTGACAGGTCCTCTTTGCAGAGCTCCTTCTCATCATCCTATGAGGACATCTCATGACCCAGAATCCCTCAGTGCAGCAGCTCTGGACGCCGTGTCCTCATGTAATAAGGAATATCTTCCTGTTGTTTGCAGTGTTTGAAGACCCGCTGGTCTTACCGGCTCCTCCGGGGCCCGATGTTCAGATGCCAAGCACCACACTTCCAGAGAGAAGCCCGAACAGGCTCTTGCAGTGTAAGTACAGAGGGTGTAGATACTTTTGTGTCTGTCATTTAAAGGGGTATTCCTGCGATGCGTGAGGGGTGACACGTACCCCTCTGCTCCTTTCCTAATATATCTGAACAGACATGGTGGTCGTCCTGCATGCAGGGCCACCGTCAGCGGGTACAGCCAGCACTCTTGTACTGGGCCTGGGACCCATCAAGTCAGCCGACACGGGTTGCCCCTAGGGAGGAAGGGTGGTCCTGCCCACTTGCCATAGTAACCAATTGATGGACAGGCTCCTCCCCTCCTTTTCTGAAGGTGTCTGGGCCCCGTGAGAGGCGGAAGGAGATAAGGAGTCTGTCCAGAAATTAGTTACCATGAAGAGTGGGTGGGGCCGTTTGCTGGGCAGACTAGTCAGGGTCCCAGCTGTTCTTGCTTAGGCTCTGCCCACCCCTTGATTAGTCTCCACCCACCCCATTATTTGGGTCCACCCCTGCATCGCTCGCAGTCCTCTGTGTTCATAGCAGGAGCTGGAGCCTCTTCCTACACTTCTCACCTCTGCACCCCCTGCATCCCTCTTCCTATACTGCTCACCTCTGCTCCCCCTGCATCCCTCTTCCTACCCTTCTCACCTCTGCACCCCCTGGATCCCTCTTCCTTCGCAGCTCACCTCTGCACCCCCTGCATCCCTCTTCCTACGCAGCTCACCTCTGCACCCCCTGCATCCCTCTTCTTAC